CCATATTAACTATAACTATAAAGCCAAATGTGTCACACAGTGGTCAGAAAACCCCCCCCAAATACACCATATTAACTATAACTATAAAGCCAAATGTGTCACACAGTGGTCAGGAAACTCCCACTAATTACACCATATTAACTATAACTATAAAGCCAAATGTGTCATACAGTGGTCAGAAAACTGCCCCCAATTACACCATATTAACACCATATTAACTATAACTATAAAGCCAAATGTGTCACACAGTGGTCAGAAAACTCCCACTAAATCAGTGCTTCTCAAATAGTGTGACCCTGGGGAACAGCCTTTTTTTTTTGGCCGTACTAGTATAAAGTGTAATTGCTCATCCACTCCAGTAGGGGGCAGTGGTGCTAACATCGTTACTTCAGTAAAACATTTTACGACTTAAAGACTAGCTTTGGTTAGCATCTGCGTTCTGGCTATAGCCTCCATTATTCAACATAAAAAACCCCAAAATGAAAAAGTTTTTAACGGGGATGAAAGAAAAACGGAAAGAGACAAAGATAACGAGACAAAAGAAAGTCACCCGAAAGCGTTTTAGTGTTTTATATATTGTGCTTCTGAGTTAATGTTGCCTAACTGAATATAAATTAGTTATTATTTTTGTTGTTTTTGTAGTTTATTAGTTATTATAATTATTAAATATTATTTATTGATTTGATTTAATTTTGCTACGGTGCAATTAGTTGGTCAAACATGTTTACAGTGTTTTCTTTGACTTAAAACACGATTTAATAAAGTTGTAAGTTTGACGATATTTCTTTCTTTTTTTCTTTTCTTTAATGTTAATAAGGATAAAATGTTATGCAGAGATGGATAGTCACGGTGGGGAGTGACCCTCGCAATACTTTCTTGCGAGGGGGGCGTAACAGAAAATAATTGAGAAGCACTGCACTAAATACACCAAATTAACTATAACTATAAAGCCAAATGTGTCACACAGTGGTCAGAAAACCCCCCCCAATTACACCATATTAACTATAACTATAAAGCCAAATGTGTCACACAGTGGTCAGAAAACCCCCCCCAAATACA